ATATATATATATTTTTTTTTTTCACTACCTAAAAACTAAAGTTATTTCAACTTACAAAATATTAACTCACCTAAGACTAAATAATATACTAAAATATTATAAAGAAAACACGATAACAAAATAATGTAATTAGTATTTAAAAGAATATAAAAAATATTAAAAAAAAATCACCGAGCTCGTCTAGGAGCTCCTAGATCCGCCTAGGCCTGCAGGCGTCGCCCCGGTCGCCTGACCGCCGAGCCCGTCTAGGAGCACCTAGGCCTTGTTAGGATATATTGTAAAACCTCGGCTTCAAGTTTTTGAAAATACAATTTTGAATGAGATTCATTTGCAATTTATTTATTTATGTAACCATAGTTCCTTTATATTAAATTATAGATAATATGGTGTGTTGCGTCGAGCAGAAAAATCATATTATCGGTTATTTGTAAAATAAAAATATTTATTCCCGACCTAGACATAATTGAACTATCTGTCGTGAAAGGTTGTAGTGTGAATTTCGAGTTAGTTGCTCTTTGACTAATGAATTACACAAGTTCATCTCAGATGCATTGATCAAATCTAAAGAGAAGAAAATTATTTTATATTGACCAAGAAAATAATCTAGACCTCAATAAATGATGCGTTCTCTTAACCCGTAAGACAATAAACGTGTATATTGTATTCAAGACTTGCTTGTTTGATTTACCAAGGGTGATATCTATTCCGTTTGGTTGACATACTCGTTATTTTGGTAATTGATATTGTTTACACGATTTGCCGTTGAGATCACTGTGTTCCAGTTTGTCGAGTTGATGGCGTCCCCGAAATGAGCCCCCATACCAGATTTTTGCATTCAGAAGCTTGGCCTCTTCTCCATCTTTCTCGGCTATACAAGACATCTCCAGTTGATTAATGGAAGAGCTTAATGCACAGATAGTAATGCACCACTGTCCTACCTTCTGGGAAAAATGCTTCACAGTATCACTGGACATCTGTTCAATCTCCTCTGGTCTGACATTAGATGTAACGGATAACACCTATCTCCTGGAAGACGAAGAAGCAGCCTACCGTTTCTCGGTCTTCCGCCGAAGCAGAATATCGCTCTATGGCTTCTACCACTTGTGAGCTGTTATGGTTGAAATCCCTTTTGGGATGTTTTGGTGTTGATCATTCATCTCCAGTTTATCTCTATTGTGATAGCAAGGCAGCCTTGCATATTGCCTCTAATCCAGTGTTTCATGAGCGTACTAAGCACATTGAGATTGACTGTCATTTTGTTCGTGACGCGCTGTTGAAGGGTTTAATTGCTCCTACTTATGTTTCTACCACGTCCCAGTTGGCAGATATTTTTACTAAGGCCTTGGGTGGACAAGAATTCACGAATTTTCTCCGCAAGTTGGGCATTCGGGATCTTCATGCTCCAACTTGAGGGGGGTGTAACGGATAATTTAGGAAAAATATTTTCTGTAGTTATCTTTAGTAACTAAATATTTGATTTGATATTATCTTTATCTCTTGTAATCTCTATATGTATTCTGAAGACTCATTTTACGAGTTATGAAAAACAACAAAAAAGAAAATATCTTTCTCCATGTCTTCTCTTATCATTTCAGCATTAGATCATAGCAAATTCCATCCACTCTGCCCAGCACCTTCCACAACTTGTAATTCTCAGCCACGGGTTGAGTGGCCCAGGTTTCACAGTATAATTAATTTACATTATAGTTTATGTTACCTTTTAAAGTTATCATAATTCACATATTTCTCTATTAAAATTCAAAATCTCGATTTGTTTTTTATTTTTTTTCCTTTTTTCTTAATCGGTTTCTGTTGATTATTTAGACCATTTCTAATGAATAATGTCCATATCGAGACGTGGTGTGAAAAAAAAAAAGTGAAATAAAAAAGTTGAAAAAGAAAGGAGAAATAAAAGATTTAAAAAAAAAAAGTTGAATAGAAAAACCAATAAATAATTCAACATTTTAATAAATTATATGCTTGTTTAAGGAGAATTGTATCAATGTTTAAAGTTGCCATAGGTAGAAATGGCCAGGCCAGTTTTAAAGAATCATAAATGTTACCTACTGAGAATTGTGTACTTACTCCTAAACTAGCACAGTTAATGCAGTAGATGGAAAAGCGTGCATTTAGATAATAGGGCAGGTTTTGAGGGGTCTTGGCTTGGCTTTGGGTGAGTGAGTGACTGCCAAGGGATCTCAATTTCAAAGCCCACCAACTTATGAATGCAAGTGTGCGTTTTTTTACTTAGAAAAAAAAAAAAATGTTTAGATTGGACACGTGAGTAATGCTCTCCTACTCACGGTGGACACATGTTAATATGTCAACCTCGTTTATGTGGCATGAACACATCGAGGATGTTAATATGTTAATGCACAATGTGTGCATGCCACATAAACAGTGGACATATTAACATGTGCCCACCGTGGATAGAGAAACATTACTCTGGACCACATAGTAATTGATACTTATGCCATTTTGTGGTTTGATATCTTATTTCTACATATTTCACATTAGGTATTCATCCGCTCATCGTTGTGTTGTCATGAAATCGATCAATGTTAACCAACGACCATTGTACGACGAAGAGGGTTTAGCGCAGTGGCGCATACCTCGCTCGGCGTATCCCATATCCCGAGTTCGAGTCACTGGGAGGGGAATTGGGGAACCAGTATTAATCCTCCTGTGTTTAAAGGAAAAAAAAAAAAAAACCAACGACCAATGTACGAAACAAAGGGTATTACAAAATGCTTCGTACATTTTAATATTAATTATTAAATATATCCTACTTTTATTATAATGTATTTTAAAAATTTAATTAATAAAATATGATTAAACTAATAGGACATCTAATCCATTCTTTTTTAGGAGCACAAGTGTTGGAATATCACTTGTGAGTTATATGGAAAACGAGTCTAGTATATAAGCCTAGTGGGCTACTCCTCCCATCATCAATTGGTTTTGGGATGAAACCTCACTAAGGTGCATCTAGACTCACCCTCTTATGGTGCGCTTCATCTGGTGGGACCGCACTCTCTTTCATCGGTTCTAATATGGTATCGGAGCGGGCCTGTCCTAGGACCTGCAATGATTCTCTCTACCCGACCTACTCTAGGCTTGGGCTTATCTCTCTACCCAGCCTGCTATGTGGGAAGGGCTTACGAAGGACTTACAAGTGAGGGGGAGTGTTGGAATATTACTTGTACTTTGTGACTCTCTCTACCCGGCCTGCTCTAGGCTTTGGCTTATCTCTCTACCCGGCTTGCTATGTGGGATTGGGCTTACGAATGACTCACAAGTGAGGGGGTGTGTTAGAATATCACTTGTGAGTTGTCCCACATTGATTCTATAGGGCAAATGAGTCTAGTATATATAAGTCTAGTGGACTACTCCTCTCATCACCAATTAGTTTTGGGATGAAACCTCACTAATGTATGAGTCTAGTATATAAGCCTAGTGGGTTACTCCTCTCATCACCAATTGCTTTTCGGATGAAACCTCACTAATGTGCATCTAGGCTCACCCTCTTATGGTACGCTTCATCTGGTGGGACCACACTCTCGTTCTCTGGTTCTAATAACAAGGATTCTAGTGGTGAAGAATTTGTAGATGATGGTAGAGGTGATGGTGCCACTGAAAAAGTTGGAGATCTTATTTTTCATTCATTTATTTATTTATTTGGCTGTGAGGAATTTTGCGAACACAGAGCCGGCAAGGAGCGGTTGGACGGGAAGGGGAAGTATTTCGTGAGCATGGTTTTAAAATTGGAAAGTCTGAATTGCATATTCGATTCGTTTCACTGACTCTTTTTGGATTTTCGGTTATTTGTTCTTCATCGATTAGCTATACCCGGTTGGTTTTAGGAGTTATTTGGCTTGGTTTTATTTTCAACTCGAGCATTTGAAATGCAAGGCTTTTCTACACTTGGCAGGCTTGCCTCATTTTTTTTTCGATGCGATAGATATTATTATTTGGGAAGGAAAAATACAAGGTACAACGGATGAAACGCCCCAAGATGCTATAAAACATAGAGAAGGAAGCAACGACTCATTCATAACACAAACCAAACAGAGCAAGGAACAACACCCGGCTAAAGCTAAAGGCTAGAAATCGAGTGCTGGAACCTGACTCTAGGCCCACACAAAGCTACCCCTAAGGGGAACCAAACATGACAACAAAAATAATTAGCCACTAAACCGCAACAGACCTAACAGCTTATCAAAAGTAGTTCTGGGATCGGTCTGGTTCTTAACATATTTTTCAAGAACCGGAATCGAACCGAAATGAAAAACCCTGTTCGGTTAACACTTAAATATTTGCAGGAACCAAAAAAGAATCGAACCGGGTTATAGCGCTTCAATTTTTCCAGTTCTTCTAGTAACCAAATAATATAATAATAACAGACAATAACTGGTTTTGATTAAGAACCGGTAAAAAAATTGCAACTCACGGACTAAAAGTATCATGAAGAACCGAGAACCGAAATGCAAACATGAGGAACCGAATACTACAAATC